TATAAAACAGACATAGTATCATAGAATGATGTAGTTAAACATTTCTAATGTAAAATGTTTAGAAAATATTATCTTCATCTTTAACGTGACATATTTTAGATTTATATTTGATTATTTAATGATTATTTTCTTTTCTCTTCATTTCTCTTAATTGCATCGTTTTATTTAGTCGCTTATATGTATCAAATACATTGCATATACAATATATATTATTACATATGCTGACATGTCGTGTTTTTAAAAAAAAATTTTTTGCCTGAAAAAGTAGTCAACGAAGTCGTAATATCTTCTTTGTCTTCAATCTCTGCCCAGTATATGCATTCGAGGTATTCAACCTTTGAAATTTGCTTCAGTAATAGTGTAACAAGTTCCTGATCCAACATTATCACGATAGAGTTTATCTCGTAGTTTGTAAATTTATGATAAAACTCCAGGGGCAGATTACCGAATGTAAGTCTGTACATATCTGCTATGTATTTAACATCTGGGTTTATCAGATTTGAACTTAATTTTTTACACATGCACTATCTTGTGTAGCGAAGGATGCGTTTCAAGAAAGTTCCGCGTTGCTTATATTTTTCTTGAATGCATATTTCGGAAAACTGATTAAACTCGTCAAGTAGATCCAGTAATATCTGAAAATATGCCACTAATTGATATAAGCGTTCTTTCACGTTGTTCTTTAGATGTACATTCCAATCCAGCCACAGGTATCTACAATATATCCTGCTGATCAGACTGCAAATCAGAGATATGGCACGCTCACTTTTCAATTCATTCAAGCATTTGATCGTTATATCCAGAATTTCCGCACATCAATCCAATGGTATGTGTTGAAGCGATTCGATTAATACTTCATCGTATTCTAGTAGCCATATTATCTATAAATGTCATAATAATATAAATACAATAAATAATAATTTATAATTAGTAAAATTAATTGTCATAATTCAATTTTTTAATTAACGATGAATTGCATTGAATTTAATGAATTATTTCAAAGATAAAATCGAAAGTAAGTATATATTCGTAAAGTATAGTATATTATTAATTACAAATAATTAATTATATACAAATTACCTGTATGAAGAGATACAGCGATATAATAGGCAACATATTCACTTTGTGTCCATTCCCAAAGTCCATATGAAGATAGTCCTGTGAGGGAAAACAGGTGTTCAACAGAAGATAATTGTAGCATTCAACGATCTGTATCCTACTAATACTCTTTCTATCCTCTTGTCTGTCCTCTGAGACTCCTATGGAAATATCGCATTTTTCAAAAATATCGACAATAGCCGGCATCAGTTCGTCAATAAAAAGTGAAGTTTCCTCCGTTCGAGTGATATCACATAGTTTGCCGAATAATCTGTTTATTTATTAAAAGTTCTTTCATACACCGGTAAAATTTGACACTTTTGTTCATTTTCGACAGATGCTTAATAACGTATCTTAAACAATAATCAGATGAACAAAATACACAAGATAATATAACATAATATAAAATGTTAATATTTGGGCTTACCAAAATTTTCTATTTTACAGACACTTCTGATTCAAAATTTACTGTCATGAATATATCGTCATTGTAACATAAATCTGCCGGAACTTTTTAGCGCTTCTTCCAAATCTTTTAGTATTTTACGTGTTTGTCGTAACGTGTTAAATAATTTTTTTTATATTTATTCACATGACATATAATGCAAATATTCGAAATTAGATTCAACTCGATTCGACAAGCTCGATAATATTGTTTCAGTTCTGTTTCACTTTTAAAACGATTTGCAAACGACTCACAATCAGTGATACATAATTGACTTTGAGCGTGATTGTGTTTCTCCTCAATGTCAGATAAAGCAAGACGAATGCCCACCTGCTGATGAGTTAATAACGAAGTTTGAAATTGAATCAAATAAACAGTAATTAATATATATATATATTTGAATCACAATGAAAATTATATATTTGTAGTAAGGTAATTTATGTCGTCATTCTAAAACGCAAAATATAATATTTCCATTGCAAAAATATCGAATTTATTACGTATATTAAACGTAACTCAGTTTGTACAATGATAAAAATTGAATATTTGTGATTAATGAGAAAGACGCTATTAAGCTATACGCACGTATATATTTTAAATCAAATTTTTTATATTTTATTTCGCATTTCTCGCACATGTATTTCATTAATCAATCATCGGTTCATTATATATATTTACATATGTTATATATACAAGGCAAAATCATATTTCACGCAAGTGATTTTCATGCGATAAACGTTAATAATTAATATCAACTTATTAATATACACATAAGCGATAAAAAAAAATTGTTTTTTTTCAATTTAATAATACAACGATCAAATAATCTAAATAAAATAAATGTATAGAAACATTTTTATGTGCAAAACAAAAAATAGCCATAGTATTTTAGAATTATGTTAGTTATGTTAATTATGTAGTTAAACATTTCTAATATAAAATGTTTAGAAAATACTATCTTCATTTTTTGCATGACATATTTTAGATTCATATTTGATTATTTGATAATTATTTTCATTTCTATTCATTTCTCTTAAATTCCATCGTTTTATTTCGTCGCTTATATGTATCAAATACATTGCATATACAATATATATTATTACATATGCTGACCTGTCGTGTTTTTTAGAAAAAAAATTTTTGCCTGAGAAAATAGTCACGGTAAAACAATTATTCCTAAAATATTTCCTCCTATATATAGCTATGTTTTGAGTTTAACAATTTTTCTGTTGCGGTAAAATAAAAAATATAATGATTACTTGACGCAAATATATGACGTTATTTTACTGTAAAAATAATCAAACATAATTTCCTGAAGAGTAATCGTTAAAAAGTGCGAAATTTTTTCTTATATATAAAGCAAAATATTTATATCCAATAATACAAAAAAATTATCACTATTGTATGCATCATCGATATATACATAAATCGAACACACTTTTCAATAAAAATAAAAATTAATACATATACAAGCAATGATAAAAAGTATTCTAATTGTAAACTATTTGTATAATAGTTCTTTTTGTTCCGTAAGATTTCTATTTTTATAAAAACAAAATGTACATGTAAATTTTTTCAAAAATTTTTATTATTGTGGCATTCGATTCATGTATTGTTCAAGTATGTCATTTTAACGATAAGTAGGACAAGAATAGAAAAATAATTATAACAATTTATGAAGTTGATCAAGTGTTCCAAAAATTTCAGAAAATAATTAAACACAAATATTGTTGAAAGTAATATTAATAAACTTGCATTCTATTGGTGTTAGCCTTCTTTATGTAATCAAAAGTTTTTACACAATTGTTGAAACACTTAAAAATTTCGCGAATAGCTGATTACAATCAATATAGAATAAAATATTATTATCAATATTATGAGTAAAATGGTTATTTTCCGTAAAAAACAAAACAAGTTATTGAAACTACTTATATTTGACGCAACCTTTGTGCCTTTGCGTTGACCAATGTGATGCAGTCGCATACGAAATTATATTCGTTAAACAAATTCAATAATTTATTGTTGCTGGCTCGTGAATTTGTCTCATTGTTCAAAGTGGAAGTGCTAAAATATATAGATATTCTTTAAAACATTCTTTTTATAATATTTTTTATTCTACGATACTTTTCTGTGTGACATTTATTCTCTTTATAACATATATTATTCCATGATATTTTTGTGATTAATAAATGTTGAAAGATCCTAAACTGTATTTTATAATATGTTTTGCAATAGAAATTGTAGACATAAAATATTTTTGTATTTAATAGTTAATATATTCTAATATTTTATAGAGTGTTCTAATATATGTTATGACATTAATTCAATATTTCAATTGCAGTTGATAGCATATTCGAGTTATAATAAAATTGCAAATTATAAAAATAAAATTACATCAAAATTGAAAAATAAAAGATAAAACAAAAACCAACGAAATTTATCATAAAGGTGCATTAAAAAAAAAAATTAAAAATCTCCCATTCACTCACCTTTCGAACATTTTTTCGAAAGAAATTATTCTTCGACTGTTGTATCGACCGAAACACACTTTCATCCATTCCTTAACGTTATAAAAATAATGTTTTGCATCTGTATAGGATTTATTAGCGAACTTGTTATTGATATGTATGAGCATGTCGCTATATACCTTAGTGTACCGTGTACCATTTATTAATTGTTGCAGAGAGAACAAAGTCTTCAGCAAAATACAGCAAACTGCATAATGTAAATTGGCGTCTGATTTTTTTGCAAACTTTTTGCAAAATTTAACAAGAGTGCGCAGCAGTGTAATGGAAGCGTTTGGCGGAAACGTCTTAGAATACACTATAGTAAGCTGTATCGCTTCGGCCGCTATCCGCACTAAGTTTTCGTATGCTTCCAACTGGCTGGTCCAACCAAAATGGTAATATAGCTCTGTCAGTTCGTACACGAGCGACTTGAACTCTCTCATAGTTGCATGCAACATCATATGTCGTATCAAGCTCTCTCGATTGATTCGAGTACAATTCGTAAATCTTTTATTGTATATCCATATTGAATTTGTTCGCAATCTTTGATGTATGGGAAAGCAACGCGCCTCATAGTCCAATATTACGTTCCGGATATCGATTTTGTCAAGTCTTATAATTATCATTGACATCTGTGCCCAATCAAGTGGCTCTAACCAAATGCCGACTGTGCAGTGATAATCGCGCAATTTGCTCATCATCGTTTCATATGTGAAAATTGTTGGAAAACATCTTTGGAACTTGCGTAGTACTTTACGTGCATTATACAATGTCTCGTCCATGTCTCCTTTTATGCATTCCGTGTTTCTCCTTATCAAAGACATCTTCTTGAGCACTGCAACAATTAGCAGTATGTAATTTATTTTGTTTTTAAACTTGAAATCCTTCGCAATAAACGACATATTCTGAAGCATAATGTCAAGATGATTAACATTATCCTCGTTGAAGTCAGTTCTTATGAAATAGGGGATGTAAAAGTAGTTGAACAAATCATTTGTTTTTATCATCTAAGAAAAAAAAATTTTTAAGAAATAAAAATAATGGAAATAAAGTTTCCAACAAAATAAAGAAATGTCAATTAATGAAAAAAATTAAAGTTACTGTTTTAACACGCACGTGATTCAGTGAATGTTAAAATATATATTTTGACAAAGTTTTATTCGAATTATAAATGCTTGAAGTTCATTTCTGAGTTACAAATACCTATAGTATTTACATATCATAAAAATATTATATAAATTGCATAATTCATAGCATATGCATAATTGCATAATACATTAGTACGAATAACAAATAACAGTAATGTTGAAGTAATGTTTTTGAAAATAAATTGGCCACATTATCTGTTTTTTTATTTATTACGTTTTATATATTACCTTAATGTATAGCATATCTTCTAAAAAAGTGCAGAGCCTCGATCCGTCCAATATGTTGTTGAAACAAACTTCTTTTAAAATGACCAGCAGCAAATTGTATCGTTTGTCTACTTTTAAACGAAAAAACGGTGTAAGCAGCAACAGCTCTCCTTCTTTTTTTTTGGTAAAATTCCTATCGTCAACGTGGTTGATCATTATTTTTACTAAAATAGTCAGCACTTTCTTCGCGTTCAGTAGAATATGGATCAGGAGCATATGTAATTTTCGAGGGTCGCAAAAATTTATCTCGTTCTTTATAAAATTATGAAACACCTTGTCATCGTACATACACTCTAAATAATTGTCCTGAAAGTGATGCTTCGTGTATTTTAGCACACAGAAATGTAAATTTATCACATTCACCCGTTCCAGCATAGTCACTACCGACAAATATGCTTGATTTCTTTCCGTTGCGTTTAGCGAATTCGCAAACACGTGGTGGAGATACTCAAGCAAAAAGAAAATATCATTTTTTTCCAATAAGTGCATTCGGTCACTAATGAAATTCATCGTTAATTGGTCCCATTCTTTGTAGCGTTTCATCAATTTTCTTATATTTTTTGATTTGTCATTAACAATGCTGGCACAAAGCTCCTGAAGAGTTAAACTGAATCTGTTAGAATTTTCTGGGCTGGAGAAATCAGACCATTGAATAATTTGCTGTAGAAGGTGACGCAGATGATCATTTCCCATCAGAAAATCATCTTTCTTCATGTATTCCATGAAATTGTGACACTCAATAGCAACGGCATGCTGCAACGAAGTCGTAATATCTTCTTTGTCTTCAATCTTTGCCCAGTATATGCATTCAAGGTATTCAACCTTTGAAATTTGCTTCAGTAATAGTGTAACAAGTTCCTGATCCAACATTATCATGATAGAGTTTATCTCGTAGTTTGTAAATTTATGATAAAACTCCAGAGGCAGATTACCGAATGTAAGTCTGTACATATCTGCTATGTATTTAACATCTGGGTTTATCAGATTTGAACTTAATTTTTTACACATGCACAATCTTGTGTGGCAAAGGATGCGTTTCAAGAAAATTCCGCGTTGCTTATATTTTTCTTCAATGCATATTTCGGAAAACTTATTAAACTCGTCAAGTAGATCCAGTAACATCTGAAAATATGCCACTAATTGATATAAGCGTTCTTTCACGTTGTTCTTTAGATGTACATTCCAATCCAGCCACAAGCATCTACAATATATCCTGCTGATCAGACTGCAAATCAGAGATATGGCACGCTCACTTTGCAATTCATTCAAGCACTTGATCGTTATATCCAGAATTTCTGCACATAAATCCAACGGTATGTGTTGAAGCGATTCGACTAATACTTCATCGTATTCTAGTAGCCATATTATCTATAAATGTCATAATATAAATACATTAAATAATAATTTATAATTATTAGTAAAATTAATTGTCATGATTCAGTTTTTTAATTAACGATGAATTGCATTGAATTTAATGAATTATTTCAAAGATAAAATTAAAAGTATATATTCGTAAAGTATAGTATATTATTAATTACAAATAATTAATTATACACAAATTACCTGTATGAAAAGATACGGCGATATATTAGGCCACATATTCACTTTGTGTCCATTCGCAAAGTCCATTTGAAGATAGTCCTGTGAAGGAAAACAGGTGTTCAACAAAAGATAATTGTAGCATTCTACAACGATCCGTATCCTACTAATACTCTTTCTATCCTCTTGTCTGTCCTCTGAGACTCCTACGGGAATATCGCATTTTTCAAAAATATCGACAATAGCCAGCATCAGATCGTCAATAAAAAGTGAGGTTTCCTCCGTTCGAGTGATATCACATAGTTTGCCGAATATTCTCTGTTCATTTATTAAAAGTTCCTCCATACATCGGTAAAATTTTACACTTTTGTTCATTTTCGACAGATGCTTAATAACGTATCTTAAACAATAAACAAATGAACAAAATATACAAGATAATATAACATAATATAAAATGTGAATATTTGGGCTTACCAAAATTTTCTATTTTACAGACACTTCTCATTCAAAATTTACTGTCATGAATATATCGTCATTGTAACATAAATCTGCTGGAACTTTTTAGCGCTTCTACCAAATTTTTTAGTATTTTACGTGTTTGTCGTAACGTGTTGAATACTTTTTTTTATATTTATTCACGTGACATATAATGCAAATATTCGAAATTAGATTCAACGCGATTCAACGATCTCGATAATATTGTTTCAGTTCTGTTTCACTTTAAAAACGGTTTGCGAACGACTCACAATCAGTGATACATGATTGACTTTGAGCGTGATTGTGTTTCTCCTCAATGTCAGACAAAGCAAGACGAATCCGCTGATCAGTTGATAATAAAGTTTAAAATTCAATGAAATAAATAGTATTTAATATATATCATTATTTGAGTTAGGATTAAAATTTAGAAAAAGGTAATTTATATCGTCACTCTTAAACGCAAAATGTACGCAGTATAATAATATAATTTTCAATTATAAAATAAGCTTAGATCTTAATTATTATTCAATTTGTATGATGATAAATCTTAACGTTTAACGAAAAACAGTTCTATAACGATAAGACTTGCATAATTTTCAAATGAAATTCTTTTATATTTTATTTTACATTTTTTATTAGCGAATTTTTTCTGATGGAAGAACCATCGACATTAATTTGAAAACATGTACGAATATGGGAAAAACTTTTTTTAACGACACTATTTTGCAAAACAAAAGAATTGCTGTAAAATGTTTTATTCGATTTACATTAAAATATTTTTTAACGTAATAAAAGCATTTTGCGAGAATAAAAATGTTCT